CATGCACCCTCGGCGGCACCTCCAGCGAAGCCCTGGAGAGGGTTCGCCGTGAACGGGGTGGCGGCGTTGGTTCGCAAGGACAAAAAGTATTAAAGGATACCTCGAAGCTTCTCTTGCGAACGTGCGCCGGACGGAACTCGCCTAGCTCGAGACGCTGCTGGCGAAGTTTTTTCGGCTCCTATCATTTATTCACGCCAGAGTTATTTTCCGTCCGCGCTTCAACGCCCTGCCCAACCTCCACCAACCTCCTCCCCTACTTCGTCGGTGTTCTTCGTGGCCCACGGGGTGGGAAAGGGGTGCTCGACACCCTGCACCCCCGTCGTACTCTTCTCTACACTCTTCTCCCGTTCCGTCTTCGTTCTTATCTGGCCTTTCCGCTTCGTCTGACGGTCTGTCGATTCGTAACCCACCCCCCTCGATTGACGCGAGGAAGTGAAGTAACGACGAGGTTCGAATTTTGTATTAGCGTAATGGTTCGCGGTATGTCTTCTCATTGAATTGACATAGAATTTGGTGCATCTGCTTTTTTAACAGTTTGACTGCCACGTCATGTAAATATGGATGATACGTACATTGCAAAGGATTATTTAACCCTCTAATGGGAAAGCCCACTCTATTTTTTATTGTCCTCGTTTCAAAATTTAATACTTATATTATTATATGTTATATAACTAAATTATTATATAACAAAAATACAAATTCAAGATAATGACTTTTTTTACTTGTCTGAAAATAGCAAAAATGAGCTCTGGTAGGATCCGACTCCACTTTATCAAGCACGACCTTCATGGGATTGAAATTTACCGTTACAAAATGTGTGTTTGAAGTTAATATCGCGGTATAATTTAAAACAACACCAATAGCCTGTATTAAATAAACGCATATACTCTCGAAGATTTATGACTTAAAAAACGAAACAAATTGTGTCTGGTTACGTACGGCCTTTTTCACTGTGGCAGTCAATGTGTTAAAGTGTCCACTCTAAAATGTGGGTCGTTGGATCCCAACTTGGATAACCCACCCTTGCGGTTCTTTTTGCACCCCACCTTCCAGTTTGACAGGACTGTCTGGTTATTTGGATCTTGAGTGATTAAAGTGAACTTAATTTAGTACTATTTATGTTACAAGTATTCAAAATGCTACTCCATTTGAATTACCAGATCTATTGAGACATTACAGTCTACTGATAATATTGGTGAGATCCTAGCGTAGAATCAGCCCGAAAGAAGGGACTTAAATCGGTATGATTTTGATACGTGGATATATTACCAAAAATCGAAATAAATACCGGTATATTTTCGATTTCTATAAGGGTAGGGCTTATATAGGGTTATGTAGGGCGAAGGTAGAACCGAAAATACCGGTATAATACCAGTATTTTACTTCTCGGTAGAAGTCCCTGCCCGAAACATCGATCCCTAGATCCCAGACCTGTACACAACCCCCTCTACCGACCGCCACCGGAATCACTGTTTCTCTAACGCGATTCGCGAGCGCGAAAATGGATCCTTGTATCGTCGAAGGGCAGAGATGTTACCCCCGATAAACCGCGGGGAGCCACGGAAATCGAGCCGCAGGTCCGCCACCGCTTGAATTGAAAGAACCGGCCCCCAATCATCCCGTGGAAATGCATTTTCCGTCTCTCTGGCTTCTGTGCCGGACGCCGTGGCGGCGGTTTTTGGGGCAGGCTTCATACGTGCCGTGCGCACACACCGTCAACAGAGAGAGAGAGAGGACGAGTCTCTTTTGTCGCGCTATTTTGGGGGGATGAACGAGCCGGGGACATGAATACGAGTTCGATCGATGAATCACTCGACGTGCACCGTTGACGTTGACGTGGAACGGGAGAACCAACCGGGACAAACAGAGAGAGAGAGAGAGAGAGAGAGAGAGAGAGAGAGAAAGAGGTAGATAGATCGTGTCCAAAGAGTGAGAGCAAGAGAGGGATGTGAAAAAGAGAAAGAGAGAGAGGGGTAGTGTTTCGTGACGAACGATGCAGCAGGAAGAGGATAGTCGACGATTTAGGGGGATGGAGAAGGGGGTTACGGAGAGGTCGGATGCAACCCTCTCGCATATACGGTAGCAGCTCACCGGTTGCGGGTGTAGAGTATGCAGGTGCGGGTGTATTAAAAAGGCGGGGGTGGCTGCGGTCGCGTACCAATCACCCGTCGGGGATGAGGAGAAGTGGGAGGGAGTGAGGGGGGTCGAAAGGTGGTCTGGGGTGGCTCGATGGACGGGGCCAGTCACGGTGCAGAGAGGGATCATACAGAGACGGTTTGTTCCGAGAGAGAACACGCCCGAGCCCACGCAACCCCCGTGAAATTTTAATCGTGTCGTCATTGGGGTAGTTTGTTGCGATAACCCGACCAGCATGGACGTGTACGGGTTTCCCCCATGGATGAAAGAAAAAAAAAAGAGGAAAAGAACGACGGACCCCCGTGCTCCGAGATCGTTGAACTGGATACGGTTTTTATCTTTTTCAGCCGGACGGGACTCGTCTTGCCCCGTTTTTGGGATTCTTGATGGGAGGTTGAAATTTGTTCCGGATTAATGTGGTCCATCGTCGTTTGATTTTCGTGCCTTTTGTATGGAATTTATCTAGTGGTTTTGTCACGATTAAACTACTCGATGGATAGTCTAACAATTTCACAGAGCTTCTTCTTGACACGAATGGCTAATCTATTCTGGAAGTTATCGGTAGACTACCGATTTTCATAAAAAATGTGATTTTGATTTGAGAATTGATCGAGAAGAGGTGCTTGGGCGTTAAAGGGTTAAAAGTAAATGAAAAAAATGTAAAAAAGTAGGTTTGTTTAATACCGATATTTTCGATTTCAAAGTAACAAGATACATCATGTATATCAGTCTCATAATTTTGAAATAACGATTTAAGGGTCTGCGCGTTAAAGGGTTAAACTCGATCGAATTTTCACCCTATACTCTATTTCACCTACTTCTGTATATTATAAATTCATCCGTAGTCTCAGTTATCGATCGAAATACCTTGAAAAATATAAAAATCGAACTACAACGAAGGAAGCCTCCAATCATGGTGGATGAATTTACAGAAACCACACGGTGTTTAAAATTCCCCGGTTAAACAATCATCGCTCCACCCCATCCCGAACTCTGTCACCCTCCGTTGTGAATTGCCACGGGTATCAATTAATTTTTGCTTTCTTTTCCCGCGAACGATTCGCCGATAATGCCAGGAATGTTTACCTGTCGCAATTAGCGGGTCCGACGCGGCGCATTTTCATCGGTGAACGCAACCGTGCACGCGAAGGGGGGTGGGTGGGGGCGGTACGAGTGAATGGCTCGCTTGAAAGATTCATGGAGACGCGACGTCCGCGCAACCGGGGGTATTATTGCTCATTTGATCGGTTGGGCATCGGAAAATAATGTAGAAAATTGTTTTGCGGTATTTTTATCGCGATTTCAGGGGACGGGGCCGCCACGGTGATAGGAACTGCCGAATATGGGGTTGGAGGGGGTGGAAGGGAGGGGTCGAAGGAGGGTGAGAGGGGACGGCGCGCGCTTTGTGTGTCCCATCAATCACGCGGACCTTTTCATCGAACGGATATCGGGCCTGCCCGTTTTTGCGTGCGGTGCATCCCGCTCGATTGCAATCGCGGCGAATTATTGAATCTGCTGCATCTCGTCTGTCCGGATTAGGTTGGGTTAGTTCGCACTCGTTCCCGACTTCCCTCTTCGGTATTCCCCTCCACCGCGATTTTCCATCCCCGAAAACGCGTCGAATTTTACGGGAAGTGCCTTCTAACTATTTCCTTGGTCTTAGTGAACTGGTTTCGAAACATTTTTGGATGCTTGTTAACTTTTAATGTGAACTGATTTTAAATTGAACTGTGTGGAAGTATCGAAATCAATTTTATTGGGGTGTAGGGAATCCTTCTATTGGCAATAAACGTCCTCTTTTGTTAATATTGAAATTTAGGTGAAGATAGAATTTAGATATAGTACAAATTGTAGCGAAATTTTGCGCTTGTAATTTCTGTTCTGTGACTATCCTGACAGCAATCTATCAAAGATTGTATAATGTGAATACAACCCGATTTCCTTGTCGATTTTCATCCCTTTTAATTCGATATGTAAATCATTCTCAGGAGTATAGGTAGTATCTTCGGTAGGTTTAGTAAAGAAAATTTCGGAATAATTTGTGATCTCGGTACTTACTGGTCGAAGGCCAGGCTCATACGCGTCTCCAGGTTTTCGTCGGTGCCGCGGCTGCGTAAGAAGATGGTCATTGAATGGAACGGACGATATTACTTTATTTGACGACGGTACGTAAACAGTGAAAGATTTCGTTCTCGAGGCCAGTCACGCCAACGTTCTCCCAGGCTCGTGAGATCGACTTCTCTCTGTCACGTTCGTCGGTTAACGTATCCCCGTAAAAAAAAAGGAAGAGCCAGGGAGTGACGTGACGTGGCCTGGACTCGGGAGCCTCAGGACATGTGATATTTACAACGCGTCACGAGTCACGCGACGTCACCCGCGATGAAGAAGCTTCGAAACGACCTCCATCAACACCAGGCAGAATGGTAGCAATTTTACAGAATTCTTTGACAACGTTCCTTTCAGCCTGATGGGACGAGGATCGTCGTCGGAAGGTCAATCACTCTCCTCGCTCGAAATGACAATCGGGTAGTGCTTAAACACGTACGATTAACCTAGGCAAATAATTGGACTCCGCTTATATTTACATAATTATATACGAACGTAAACCCTGGTTAGTCCTCGAGTCCTTGATAGATCCTGGCCGAGAACGACCAGGCGCTAAGCATTCCACGGTCGAACCCTGACTCTCAAGGATGGTGTACATTCAATCGGATACAGAATCTTCGTGGTGTCGCCGAGACAGAAATTAGGCCTCGACGCGATAAAAACGCTAACATTGACTCGTACGACCTACATCGATCGAGAGATCCGCGAATTTACAAGTTCGTCCGGATGCTAACCACACCTGGAATAATCTTCCACCCTTAATAGGGTCTCCAGACGTGTCTAGGCTTCGGGGTCCTTTCTCTTCTGGGTCTGACTCCGTCCCTTTCGACGTCAGTGTCGTCATCCTTCTTCCTGGTGGTTAGATCTTGACCCACGTTCTCTTTGTCCTGTCCTCTTTTCGTGCTGAGGTCCACGGTACCCTCTAAACGGATCTTCACGGAAAGATCTCGTCGAGGGATCTGTTCGTCGTTCGTTGCTTCTTGATCGTTAGAGTTCTCCATGCTTGGCCTGAGGTGAACCGATGCGTTTTGAAAGGAAGCATCGGTGGTGGCGTCCTCGACGTCGCTTCTGACTGGTGAAATCCTTGGGGAGTCTTGTTCAGGTAGTGATTCGTCGCTCCTGACACGATCCCTGGTCTGATCGTACTCGTTCCTGTCGTCCACTTCTATGCTCCCGTCTGGACTGTCCAAGCCTGTGCCTCGCAGAACGTCCTGATCCTCGTCCTGCTGTTTCTCCTCCTTCAGAACGGTTTCAGGACTGTTGCTGTTGCTTCGTAGCTTCCTGAGCTCCTCCAGCCTGGCTTGATCGGGCCTCTGAAGTCGTTGCTGCGCCATTCTTAAGGCCAGAGCGTGCCATTCCGGCTCTAGCATGTACTGCTGCGTGTGATATAGTGGATTGTAGAGCCAAGACGACTGCGGCAACAACGGCGCGAATATCGATCCGAAGATGGACCCTGTGGCTCCCAGAAGATGGAGACCTGTTGTTAGAATGACGATCAGTTTGGGAATCCCCTTTGGGAATCATAGGTTGATGTAATTTTGAGGATCGGGGTGAAGGTTGTTAGTGACTTTGATGATATAAATTATAAACACTTTGCTTTGCTAGAAAAGTTTCTATGTATAGCATTCAAAGAAATTCTGTGAACTCAGAGATATGATGTAGGATATGAAACTTTTTCTACCGATAAATAGACAATACCTTGGAAATGAGAGTGATGCCCGGATGGGCTGGGCGTCGTCGTTGTGGTAGTCGTCGTCTCAGCCGGTGGTGTGGGCGCCGCGACGGTGGCCGTAGTAAGCAAACCAGGTCCAGAATTACCAGGTGACGATGTCGGCGTCACCTCCCTCACAGAGACGCTGATCGGACCCAAATCGTTCCTAGACGACTCTTCAAAAAAGAATCATAGTTTCCCATTAACGAACGAACTATCTTCAACCTGTCGATCATACTTTTCGGCTTTGACGTCCCTCCGAAAAAAGAGCACTGACAGCGATTCCAACGAAATCTATATTGAGAATTTCTGGGTAGATAAGACTGGATCCATTTCAAGAAGAAGAAAGTCTCGTTTCTCAAGGACGTCATCCCTTAAAGACAGCGCAAGGTGGAGTCCTTACCGGTGTTGGGTCCAGGCAGCCTAGGAGATCTTTGCTCGATGCTGTGGTGGAAGGGATTGAAGGCCGACGCACCAGGTGCCGGAGGATGTGTATGCGAATGGTGACCAGGAGGCGGCGGAAGACAGTGCGGAGGTAGAGACCCTCGGGGTAGACCACCCCACCCTTGGCTGGCTCCTTGCTCCAGACCCAGGTGTTGCAGGCCTGTGCAATCGAAGTGATCCGAAATTATGTTTGTCAGACGGTTGGACTTTTTGGACGGTATCTTGGACTCTGGAATAAGCCTCGAATCAAAAGGGACTGATTTTCCGATCAGAAGATTAGGCCTAGGAAGAACTTGAGGAAAGGATTTTTAGGATATATCCCTTCGACGAATGATGTAAACATCTTGGTTCAACCAATATACATTTTTATTTTATTGCAAGCTCACCCTAACGGATAAATACAATGTTACGGAGTGAGATACAAAGTAGCTGAGTCTCCTTGAGAAAAAATCAATCATGGACCGTAACAGACGCAGCATGTGTGCCTGAAACGACCACGCGTGTTGCGGAGGGCTGCAATAAACAACCCGCGTGGCGTTCATTAGAAAAGAAATCGCTGTCCGGGGGTTGATCCGGAAACGTTATATAACATCAGACGGGGATAAGCGATCACCGGGTGACGGACGTAGCAACAGAAAAGCTTCCCTTTGACGTAGCTAGCGTTTGACGTGGATGGACAGTTAAATTTATCCAGCGGAGAATAGAGGGACGATCGATCAATTTTTCTTGTTTTTTTTTTTTTTCAATTGTAGCCGATACCACGGCGGCCATGGGAAAGTTTCGTGTATGTGTGCAGGTATGCAATTAAATCCACGACATGGAAAGAATTAATCTGTTCGTGGAACGATTACAACGGCCCTACCGTTATCGAACATTCGTTCTTTTCTCCCCGGAACGACGAAGAAACGAAATTTCGAAGGGGCTGAAATTTACCACGCAGGACATAACACTTTCTAACCCCCGAAGATGAAACATAATATCTTTAATATACCTGTATCGAAAAGAACGGTGCAACTGAAGCGAAACTAAAACCGTTGAAGTAGTTACGAAACCGCGGTGAAACGAGTTCCACCCCTCTAGCCCCGTCCCACCCTCCCGACCAGGGTGATAAAGGAAGGAGTAAAAGTGAAGCCGTAGTCATTGGTATGGTATCGGTTTTTCGAAACACCTTGATCAATAGCAGATTATACCGTCATCTGTGCGGGGCAGTTTAAAAATTCCGTGAAAGCTCCGAAGCCACCGGCTGCCTAGGAGGGGTGGAAGGGTGGGGATGGGGTATCACGGCGGAGCGGTAAGTAGGGGAGGCACGGCCGTAGAGTGGGGAGGGTTGTCTGGTTACTGGAACGTGGGCGTGGCTGCTCGTGCTCGCGACCCCTCTCATTGGACCAGCCGACATCCCCACTGTCTCGACGGCTCTCGATGGTGGGATAGGAAAAAGCTCGGTAGGGGTCGAAGGGGTGATTTTTAAGCTCTCTTTAAGCCGCGCTTGCCAGAGAGGACACCACTATCTCGCGTTCTACCACACCGGCGTGGAACAGCGAGCAGGCCAGCTGGAAGCTCTCGCATGGAGAAAGAAAGGGTGAGACGGGAGGGATGGGTGTGAGGGAAAGCTTGTAGCTGCAGCTACTTTATGAGGGGATTAAGAAAACGATAAGAGGCGCGCGAAAGCTGCGCTGCCGGCGAGCTTAAGGAGGCCAAGGGTTTCCGTGTACCTGACGTGCCATAAGTGAGGACTTTGCCGGAGAAATCCTCGGACGATTTTTCAACCCCTTTCTCGGAATACTGAAAAGAGAATATCTCCAGAAGCAGAAGTAAATATTGGGCTGTATAGTTTTTTTTTTTTTTCATTTTCATAGGAAATTAATTAATTTGGAAGTTCCTGTTGAACGTATGAAAATATATGTTCGACGATGTAATAATTTTTTAACTCCATTAGAGGACTCTTGCCGTTCACATCATTTATTCGAAGTTTAGCCACGAAGTTTAACCACGAAGCTTTGGTATTTGACAGTGGCGCGAATCCATTTCAAACTGCTCGTAACATACTTTCAATTTAATAAACCCCCCCAAAATGCCTGGCACCCTCTTACAGTACTCGCGTGCCGGGACGGGGGTGTGGAGGAAGGGGTGGCGGGCGATAATTCCGAAAACAAATGAAGACTAATGAGGGGAGAACCCGGGCGAGATCTCTGAAAGAGTCGGTGGGAAAGAGACGGAACGCACTGAGAGAGCTGAAAGGGTTCAAGGAGCCGCTACCCTTTAAGGGGTGAGAAATGTTAAGCTTAAACGTTACGGCCCCTAGGGTTAGTTGCCTTTATGTGTGCCTTCCCGTTGGGGTACCGGAGCTTTAAGGGATGATGTATTATCGAGCAGCATGTTCGAAATGTGCTACGTTATTTTGGCCGCGATAGATTCGGTCGAGTTCACGGTTACGATTCCATACTTTAAACACTCGTTAACGAATATTGGCATGTAAAAGTCTAAGAATTAATTAAGCTTTCATACTTGACACGAGGTCTAGATAACATAGAAAATAGAAATAGATAGTTCTATATTGGGAAATAATGGAATAGCTAAAAAGGGTCCCCATGTTAGCCAAAATAAATTTACAGAGGGCTAATAGTATGAGTCAATCATTGGTCAGACACAACAAAAAATTCTTCCTAATTGATCCAACTCATGTGTAGTGAATTATAGAAAATCGTGAAGTTATAAATGTATAAAATTCGCAGTCTACTCGTAACAATATTCCGTTGGAAGTATTCTTTCACGTCTATTTTATGTATAGAAAAATAATTTTTCTATTCTTTATGTTTATTGTCTAGAAATTTCTAGCGTAGGTGTGGGTCTACAAGACCCGAAGAAAGTAATTGTAGCTTTCTCCTGTTCCACCATGAAGCCAGCAAGGCTACAAAAATATGGATGAAGAATACACAATACCCACCCCCAACATTCTTTTGTTTCCGCCTCGAGAGAGAAATTACGAGACGGGTGTGTTCTACGTAGGTGAGAAGGTGAGGCAAGTTACGTCTGTCACGCCTAGAAGAGAGCCGTCTGCAGGGTAACTTAAGGGGCGTTTAAAGACGTTGGGGCTGCAGCCATGACGGGCACCTCCGAGAGTAAAGAGTAAAGCCGGTCGTTCGGGGGTTGCTCGCTTAAAACCCCCAGCCCCGTCCGCCACGGCAGCCAGAGATACATAATAAATTAATTCGCGTATTTTCCTGTCCTCCTTATCTATTCAAATCTATGCAAAACAGGAGTTAAAACGCCCTTCTTCCTCCTAAGGCGTTAACCCTTGTGGAGCCTCGCACACCCTCCCCCCTCTTTTCAGCTTCTTCTCTAACCCCCACCGTCACCTCCCCCTCCCCCGCCCACCCCCATCCACCGTTCCCACGTTCTAGCCTCTCACTACCGTCGGTCGGATGTCTTTGCACACCCACCCTTTGCGCCCGTTCTCATTATCGCGTCGCAGCAACCCCTAAAATGCCACCCTGGAAAGGTCCCTGGCACCGATCTAAGCTCTACGAGGAGATATTTCGAGAAAGGACGAGAAAATTGCTGTCTCTCTCTCTCGCACCCGTTTCCAGCCACCGCGTTTCATCCCCACCCGTCAGCATCCCCCATTCACCCCTTCCTCCCTCCTTCCTTCTCTTATTTACGCTTGCATCCTCTTTGAAGTTACGAACGCGGATAAAAACGAGGAACTTTTCGAAACGCTCATTGTATGCGAGCTATTCACCCGGAGTCACGTCTCCGTGTACTTTCCTTTTTATTCCCTCCCACCCACCTCCGTGATCCCGTACGTAGAATTAAAAAAAAAAATTTTGACGGGTTCTCTTGGAATTTCTTAACGTAAAATCCGCCGAAATAATTTTGTTCTTTTTCCTGAAATGTCTAGAAATCGGAAGAGATTTGCTCGCTTTTTTATTCACGCGAACACAACTTATCAGGGTGTGTATTCGTTGGAAGGGATTTAATTTTGTAAAAGACTTCACCACTACACCTCCACGTTTAATGGAAATCGATAGAAGGAAGAAATTACAAATCAATGCCACCGAGTGTAAATTCACCGAATTTATCTACCCCCCTCCGTCTTTATGGGGTTTTTGTGTCACCGATAGAGAAGACGGCGCAGCGGCCGCCTAGGGGAGGGATGAAGAAGAACGGCGCACGGTATCATTAGTTACCGTCGCCTCCGTCGAAAGGTTCTGGTCACCGGGACTGATTAAAAGACGGGACACCCTGGGAACAGCAGCACCCTTGGAAGACACGCAGGGGAGGGTGAAATGTGACGCGAATTTAAAGGATCCGTCGTGATTTGACGCCACCGGGGTGGACAGGGACAACCCTTAAAAAGGGAACCTTTAAGGATCCCGGCACCGCACTCGTGAAGGGTTACTTGGTCTTCCGTGTACGTGAAAAGGCCCCTTAAGGGCAACCGGAGAAGTCGTCTTCTTTGAAAACCAACCCCCTTGTGTCCCCCTGTCCAGAGACACTCCCTTCGCAGAAGGTCAAAAGGGATATTAGTAATTAATTAGAACACAATTGCGCTGATTCTTTCAAGATCTATGCACAAAATTACCCTCTCTGAGAAACCATACCATTAAACGAAATAATACTGACGTGAGTTTTGAAAGAAACATTTTTCATTACAATATTTGTAATAATTCATTCAAAATGAAAGGTTGAAAGAAAAGAAAGTCACGGACATCTTTAAGGCGAAGTTCGTGAATATACTGCGAAACGATCCAAGAACGAACCGACAGTTTTAAACTGAACGTTCCTAACAATCTCCCCCAAATGAGGTAAAGGCCACCTTATTGAAACAGGGGTTGCGATTTTTCCGGCCCTCCCCCGACCCCCTGGGGTAGGCGGTTAATTGACACTGGAGGGTGGAATGAAAGGGGGTGGGGGTGGAGACGCAGGAGATCGAGCTGCGCGAGCTGTTCTTGTTAACTCGAATCCCGACTCTCGCGATTTTTCATCCCCTTAGCCCCGGACTGACAAAGACGGCCTCTCGGGAGGTGCACGTGATCAGGGTGTTTTCATTCCTGGACAATCTCTACGGAGGATCTTTCGCGTGTTGCCAGTCACCGAATACATTAATTTTCGTCCCGCTCCGGGAACATCTATCGCGAGCATCTCTCCTATCCAACTTTTCTCGTGTATGTAAATTGAATCTTGCCAACCTGCATCGACACGTTCGCTGACATTTAATTCTCCTGTTATCTACGTTTAAAAAATAATTAAAATAATTCCACCCCGTAAAATTAACTCAAAATCTTTTACAACCTTCTTTTTATGAATAGAAAAATATGAGAATAATCCTAATGTAATTATCGGTTAGACAATTAAGTTTAAGATGTTCTCTATTTGTCAAAGGTATCAAGAACAGTCTGACCAGAATACCCAAACAAGGTGTAAGACACCAAGTGTGCCGGACTTCGGTAGCTCCGAGTCCTCAGGGATACCATAAAATTCAACCCTCCCCTCGGGGGTTAGGCCCGAACGAAATTTAATAACATCCCCCTAGTTACACCTCAATGGGCACCTTAACAACCCCTGTGCTCGGGTAGCCGACCGTCTCTCGCAGTTTCCCTTTCCCTTCGTCTCCTTATCAACCCCCGGGGCGCGCAGATATCTAATAAACCAGCTCTTGAAACACGTCTTTATCCGTGCATCGATACACAGCCGCCTTCCCACCCCCTGATTCGCTAGGGTGGCAAAAGTTCAAAAGCTGCCCGACTGACCCTCGCGCTTACGAACTGGACAGAGGCGCAACCTGTGCACGACGGTACGAACTAGCCGCGAAAGGGTTGAAAAAGTGGTGGACATCGTTCGGTATATAAACCGATCGATACGCTCGGTGATGTCGGTCGCGACTCCGACAACGTGCACGACCCAGTTTAACGCGTGCACGTGTGTCGACCGTTAACCGAGGGGAATCGTCGAGTGCGTCTTTCTATGGGGTGGCCAACGAAGAATAGTATGAATTTTTCATTCGGTGTATCGATTATGGGGGTTGTTAGCGACGGAGCTGAGCGGAAGGGTTGGAAATTGTAAAAGAAAGGTGGAAGACATTTTTTTGATCTAAGGGTAGTTTTCTTGGATTTTTTGGGAATTAGTATGAAATGGTAAGTGATCAGAACGAAGAATGAAGTGTTGTTTGTATCCTGTACGGTGTAATAGGGGTTGAAATGAGAAGAGACGAGAATTGTTGGACTTTAAAGAGGTCGAACATGTTCTGTGAATGTTCTAGACAACGTAGTACAGACTTTGTCGTATAATACTGCACAGATCAAGCGACTTTGCGCACAGAGAGCGGATCAAGTGGGTGTTTATGAAGACGGGTGATATAAGCGTCTAAGCGAGGGTCTTTACTAAACTCGGATGGAATATTCAACGATTACGCGATGTAGAAGTGTTGAACTTCAACGAAACTACTATAAAGAAATATCCTTCAACCATATCCACCAAAAATCCAACAACCTTCTCCCCATTAAAAGAAAAAGTCATCCCCAAAAAAAGTTACAACAATCTCCAGCCAAAAGAAATTGAATTCCACGATAAAATCGTGTCCTATTCTTTCCAGAATTCACGGGATTCAGCGTCACAACGGCCTCGTATCGCGACAAACTCGCGTTCCTCCCATGATTCAATTTGCCCCCGCTTAACGATACGAGGAACGAAGGTCTGTGCAACGTTTTCCGTTCGCGATTAACCGTGGAACAATTTTATGCACTGGGCCCGCTTGGAAATTGTTGCGTCCGTCCTCGTTAGCTGAAATTACGATGGAAATCTGAAGGGAAAGAAGAGGCGAAGTCGGCGAGGAACCGGGCGCGGCACCGTTGGTCCTTGATTGAGTAGACCACGGGGGATGAGGGTCGAAAAGGGATGGGGGATGGGACGAGGAATCGACGGCAGGACTCTGCTACTCCACACCGACCCCCTCCCGTGGGGGAAGGGGGCGGCGGCAGGGAGAGAAGCTCCGTTAAGCCGCTTATCATGCCGAAACAATACACTGTCGGTGCACCAGTATCAGTACCCGACCCTCTCGCTGCTCTGGAAGCTAGTCCCATCAAAATTTCGAGCTTCGAACGAATTTGAATTGGAATCCGTGCCGCCGAACTAGCCTGTCGATCCTACCTGGGGAGGGAGTGCGAAAAAAAACCACCTCTGGAAATTCGTCCAGGCGACGTCAGTCGGTTACCGTGATACGATGGAAATAGAAGTTTCCGGATTAGAGGACGGGTTTTTGGCTCCTGCGTCTGTTCGATGGAAATACAGGATCTACTGGGACCTGGAGGATCGAATTTGATCGCGACAGGGTGAGCTTATCGCAGGTGTGTAGTATAGAAAACGAACCTGAGGATCGTTAGGTTGGAATGAATTTAAAATGTTTTAAGTAGTACAGGTCAATGGTATGTCAGACGATGGATGAAAACGATATTCGAAAGTTCTGGTACTATCCCCCTGAAGCTTTCAACTATAAACGAACATGTACAGTATTCTACACTCTATTCTACACAAATGAGAATTAATTAAATACTGGCGATCCAAATTAAAAGCATGTTCGCCCTTAAATTTGAATTCCAGTAGATTCGATGAATCAAATTCCCCGAGTATACAGGTACAAATATTTTTGCAAATGAAATACGCTGTCCAGAATCAACAATTGTGACTTCCACGTCGACAATTTCGCGTTGCGGCGAACACCCCCAACAGTTTTCTTCCTACGGTCTCCGGAATTTCGCGAAGCAACGCCAGCAGTTGCTCGTCAAACGGCGGCTGGCAAAGTTTCGGCGCGAAGAGTGAGCGTAAGTAGAGCCGTCGGCAAACGAAAAGGCGGAGCACACCCGGCTGAAGCTTAATCAGAGTCTTCTCCACTTAGACGCCCGGCGGCAAAACTCAATTTTGAGTCGGTGCCTGCCGACGCTCAATTTTGACACCCCTCGTAGCCGCGAAGCGGGCGCGACGCGTCGTCTAGCGAAAGCCAGTCCCTGGCTTCGTGACTGCGAGGGAGGGGGACGGAGGACTCCTAGGGTTGGGAAACTTAGTTATCCGTCGACACGAGGTATACACACCGTGGGAGAACGAAGGTGGTGCGCGACATAGGGAGAGTCAGGCGGAGAGACGGTTCCTTCGATCTGGAGACACACTTACCGGACAACTTGAATCCCAAAGGGTCCTGTGGATGACCGAACGGGAACGGCCTGGGCCCGAAATGGAACGGATGGAAGGCCTGGTGTCCTAGAACGTCAGAAGGAACATGTGAGTTGAACGGAAATTTTCGTTCGCTCGCCATCTTCATTGCGTTGATGTTCTCTGGCCACTTGCAAAGCTATATTACATGTTATTGTACGAGTCGAGTCGGTAACTATAGACAAAGAAAGTACAAAAGCTGTGAGACTACAAGGTACAGAAAGAACCACAAGGCTGATTTATCCAAGATGGGATCCAACGACCTATATTTTAGATTGAACATTTTAACACGTTGACTGCCACAGTGAAAAATGTGGTATGTAGTCAGACAGACTCTACTTCATTTTTTTTTTAAGTAAAAAATTGTCGAAGGTATATGCGTTTAGTTCATCGAAGCTGGTGATCCTGTTTTAAATTATACTGCGATATTAATTCGACACGAAATTTTGTAACGGTATTTAAATAATGAAACAACTTTGCAACGCACGTGTCACCTTTATTTGGGTGACGTGGAAGTCAAAGTGTCAAGACAGTGGAGGGAGGGATCTGAATGTGGAGGGTTTAACATTTATACATCTGAAGAACAATCGAAGTTCTTGACCCTAGAAAGACGAAGACTATCGAGTGTTGCACACAGGAACGTGCATATTAAAGAGTTAGAATCGTGGGTGGTTGCAGATCGAGTTACCTACAGCTGGTAAACTCTTCGGACACTCACTTGTCTTGGATCTTGGTTCCCTGGGTCCGTCGACGGTGACCTTGATCGCCTTGGACAGGGTGGCTACCTGGGGCGGCGATGTCTGCAGCATGATCGTCAGGGTAAAACTTTTACCTGAAATGAGAATCGAGAGTCAAAATATAGACTGCGGACTAGAATTATCGCCCGGTGGTAAAACGAGCAGGCAGAGCGCTCTCATTGGAGCTAATTAAAACTAATTTTCTAACTAATATTTAACTCATTAAAACTAATATTCTTGGCTTTTGATCGCCCACAGTCTGTATCTTGTATGATATTTATGAAAACTAGGTGGCGAACTATAACAATACTCTACGCCACGATTGACGAATAATTTATACTCAAAGAAGCATCAAGGAACACCATAAGTCAGGGATGAGTTCTCGATACATCCATGAGTCCTCGAAACAATCGATACAAAGAAGTTCCAAGGTTGATTTCGAAAAATTCTAAATAAAAATGAATAGTATTAAACGATAATACTATTCATTTTTACGATAACCCTTTAACAGTAATTTACAAATTACGTTTCTCTTTAACTATCTTCCATACATAACCAACCCCCAATCCAATTCTCATATGATATTCTCAATATTACCAACGGTTCCACAATAAAATCATTACAGAATGTTCTTGACATTTCCAAATGAATTTTTGACAAATTTCTGCCGTTTGTCGGTAAGATCAAGATTCCCCAGGGATTTGTTCGCGAAGTGATAGAATCGATTGAGAACCAGAAAGTCCTTCGGGGGGTGTTGCACGGCAAACATCCCCCATCGTTGGCCGCCAGCACCCCCGCAGCAATCGCTTTCGACTAAATGTCTTCCCCTTGCTCCTTTTCCGCGAGAAACGCGGCCAACTGTTTTCGCTCCGAGGGGCGGGGAGGGCGCGAACGACAGCAATGTGCGGGGGGTGCGCTCGCTGGAAACAAAACACAAATGTGCCGGAAGTAAGGGGGTGAACGAGTGGCGCCGCCGCGTCGATGTTTGGCCCGAATCGGCCGGAATATGTTAATGTCGGCGCCGGGGAGGAGGGGGAACGGTAAAACCCCGAGAGGAGCGAGCCCACGGTAGAAATATACGCGGGCCGCTTGTCACGCGCGATTTCGTCGTTTTACCTTTCGCCGCGTCGCGTCAGCCTCGATCGCTCTCCCGATCCCACGTTGATATTCGTACATCCGTCGGGACCTTTCTGGCCCTCTGATCGAATTATTCAGGGTGCTCGACTGCTGGTGTCGGAAACTTTAATTCTACGTGTCGAAATAAAACGGAAATCAAGATCGACGGAATTGGGTCGAGGGTCTCGTTTCTCGAGTTATTGGCAGGGTCACTGGCATGGTGGTCACCGGTGATCGGAGAATTCCACGGAGAAATATTTAATTTTCTGAAGGGGAATGTTTAGTATCTCGTGGATATAATTAATGGTAAAGTAATAACGAAAGTAATGAACTGCGGATTTTTATTAGTACCTACGTATTTTTATTCACGTATTAAGAGTTCTAGGACGGGGAGAAAAATTCTGTTCAATCTTGTTTTTCATGTATGAGTGTCCAAAATTGTCAATTTGTATAAACATCCGCAGTTTAGTAATGAGCGTTCAAGGGCACGTATAGATACTGTATATCGTTAATAGCAAAGACAGAGACAATTATATTTTATTGTGATACTGTCTGAATAGTAAAAACTGTGGCAGTCAATGTCTTAACGATAAAAAAATTGAGGTCAGAAACGCCTGACTCCAGGCAATCTGCGTACAAGCGTAGGGCATGACGGACCCTTGAAAAAAAATACATCGGTACTCCTAGCCGAACATATGATATCGACATTTTCCTTGCCACAATCACAACATCTTTAGGTCATTCGCGAACATTCGCGACGAAGAATAGGATGTCTGGACTGTGCCATACCTCCTGCTGTTTTCAGTCGCTCGACCACTTCGATGTTTACACATTTTTATTGCTCTTCTGTCCTTCGAGTGGGATTCTAGTAACGGTTCCTTAGTTCGGTGGTAGTCGTCATCGCGGACACATCTAGTCATCGCGGAATAGTTCTCGAAGAAGAACATTCGTGTTTGCTTGTAGTATTAATTTAATTTATTAGAGTCAGTTTTAGTTTAATTTAGTTTAGTCACCGCGAAATAGATCTCGAAGAGAAGCATCTGTGTCTCTTCATAATACTAATTAATTTATTACAGTCAGTTTTTGTTCAGTTTATATTAGTTTATTCAGTGTTTAGTTTGTGTGTAAGCTGTGGTCTCTTTTGTGAATTTTAACGAGTCTGTGGTTTCATATCGTACAATTCGTGTGTGCTGTTTTATACAGTGTCTTGTACATAACATTTTTTGCTGTTAGGTAAAGATGTATTTTTTTGTATATGCGGAATTTCTGGTTTCAGACGTTTCTGGTCCGTATTTTTAACTGTTAGGAACTTCTAGACAAAGCCTTCGAAATAATTTCGTAAAAAAGACAACCATACTATTTAAGATACTATTGAATATTTTTGAACCAATTTTCTTTAATTCTTCTTTAAACACCTTAGGGAATAATAACTGCACAGTGTGATTTCTGTTTAAAAAAAAATTGTTCTGTATATTTTCACGTTTCTAGACAAGATTTCAGTTTTACGGGGTCATAGGTAACCCGAAGGTGGCGTTCCAGGGTTAATGCAGTAACACGTACCAATAGTTCTAATAAGGAATCTGTAGAATCTAAAAGATTAACGATCAAGTTACAGAAGACACACTGCAATAATCCCTGGTACTAAATCTTTGAAAACACCCTCAGCAGTTGAAAAGTGTTTCGTCCTTGAAAAATTACACTCCTAAATCGGATGATTATACTACAAAGACAGAATAAGAATGAACGATCGTTCGTTTCACATAAACCATCTCCTTCGTGATGAATAGAAGGCTAATTCTGAGTTCGCGAAGCGTTTCGTTTTACGCGTCTGTGTCCAGTGTTTTACGATTTTTGCTGGCAGTCGAATCGAATCGAATCGGTCATCCACGTCGAGTCAAAGAATGCTTCAACGTTTGGGGGTGGTGAAAAATGGGGGCTGTTGAAACGGGTGGCCGGCACTTAGACGCGTTCTAAAGCTACGACCGTGAAGTTATACGGCTTATAATGGGGTCGGCGTGCGTATATGCACGCGGTTGCGTAGTTTTATTTTATGGTGGCGCGGCTTGGACGGCAAACGACCGGGTTTTTACGGTGAACCACGACATTTAACCGGCTTACCGCCATCGTCCAGGCGAAATATTCCGGGACGACTTTAACGTTGCCGGGGGAAACGCGCCCACGTCGACCTCATCGCCATACTTTCTGGATTGATGCTCGAATCTCTTGGTGAATTTCTATTACCTCTTGGACCTGAGATAATATTTTCGTTTTTTAAGATAGTCAGAAAGAATCATGTATTTTTTGTACAGAATATTTTTTTAGCGATTAGAAGGTTTAATCTTCTTTTTCTTTTCCTACTTATACACTGATTACTAGACCGCGGATTTTTATGCGAAATAACATTTTCTAAAGTAATTTATAAAGACAGAAGCAAATGTAGAAATTTATTTTTCCTCTTAAGTATCTTATTGGGTTCAGACTAAAACAGAAAAAAACCTGCCCGCCCTGTAAAGGTTAATGGAATAAAAATTTACTGAACTCGATTGAAATTTTGCCTTTTACTGTCTTCCGCATACATCTGTGTGCTACAATCTATCTTTAACTAAACTCCTGCTAGACTATTTGAGCTGTTAGATAGAAAAAAAATTGAATATATTTGTGAATATACGTGGTCGATTATGCGTTAAGATATTTCAAAAAGAAATTTAAAGGAAAAATGTGATTAAGTATACTGTGTAGATTTTTTATTTTTCCCTCCCAATAGAGGAAGAAGTGGAAAAAATTTGGGACGAAACAGAGAGATTTTAAGGACAGGGGAAGGAGGTCTAACGAGGCCAAAGTTTATTGCCAGTGCGGTGTCAAATCCGTGATGGCGGTACGGGCGCGAATCGAGGGTGATAGCAGGCGTTTTGAGGGTGTTTATGAGGCATTATGTGTAACTCGCTGGAAGAACGATCCTCCCCCTTGAGGTCTGTTGCCCTCCACCTGCCTACGCTCGCCGAAATCGTAATTCGTTGCGTGTTAAACGGCGGCTTTCCAGGCATCAATCTGCCCCCGAAATTTATTCGTTCCCCGTCGCACCGTGGCTCGTCCGCGAATCTCGCGGTAATTTCTCAAACCATTTGTGAAATTCTCGAAACGATACACTTGTCAGAAAAGAATTTTTACCCTACTGACATTTAATATCAAAATCATCCTGAATTATAGAACTTCGATCCAACTATCGATCCTATTAGAAAATACAAAAATGCGTAAATATTCACATTGAGAAGTAGGTTTCTATAGAAAAGAACAATTGCAATAGAATCATTCCATTTGTATAGACAATTTTCTTATGAAACCAAAATAAAAATTTCGATTTATCAGTGATTCATCGTCCTCAGAAACTACGAAGTTACATTTTTTTTTAATTATAAAACAATCTATCGTTGAGTTCCACCTTTAACAAATTTTTTATTAATTTCAGTGAATATTAGAGTCGAAAGAATCACGCGATCCCAGCGACTTTCGACGGACACAGCGAACATCCCTTCGTTCGCCTCGCGTACGGCCGTCGATCCGCGCTTACACACCGCCTCCATCCAGCCGCGATTCGGCCAGTCAAAACGTCAGAATCTTAAAACACGACAAACACTCTGAAATAACGATCCGAGCCACCCCTAACGCTCGCCTCGCCGGCAAACAGGGGAGTTTTTAACACTGCATGATCCCTAGGCAAACTTAGGGTGTACGGAGCGAACGGAACGGCTCTCGTGTCTTCTCGCGGTGTGCAAATCCTTGTCGTGCAAATGGCCGCGGACTATCGCCAGCTCATAAACGCAGGAGCATTATACGTTTTTTTCTTACGCCTAGTAAAAATACCGGCTGGTCTTTTAACGCCTCCGAGACAGACGAAACAACAGTGACTGCGTTTAGTAACGCCGAGAATGTGGAGTTCTGTGACGACTTTGATGACTAAAATAAGACTTTAGGAAGAAGT